TCTTTTGTGTTGGAGCGAAGTGATTAGTGTAGCGTTTAGCCTTATGCTACAGCGGACACCTGCTGTAGCGCTCTTCTGAAATCTCCAACTGAGGTCACAATAATTTAACAAAAACAAGTGATACTGAAGATCCATATCACCGATGCAAGCCCCTCCACCGTCATTATGACCAAGTGGTTTTGATGGACTAATGTGCTGGTAAAGACTCTCAGAAGTCCTCTATCTCAGTTCATGACAGAAGTTGGTTTCGTGGCTTTGGGCTGTCGCTTAAGATTAACCTTCAGTCTCCTAATGTGTTTGCTTCTTTTTCGTCACCCTGTCCCTTCGTCTCTTGCTATCATCTCTGTCAAACTTTCTGTCTTCTCTTTTCAAGACACTGTCACTTCACGTTGAGATCTTCAGAAGGACGAGTCTCCTTTGCCAAGTTTTACTAAGAAAATCTTTGTTTAGAAAACAGTTATCAGTCATGCTGTGTGGTCATTTGGTCCTCAAGCTCTCTCTTGTTCTGTCTTTTTTCTCTATGCATGACTCCACATGGCCCCTCCCTCACCAGTCCGCTCCCTACTGTGTCTCCACCTGTGTAGCCTACATAGAAGATCTAATATTACTGCAGTTTTTTCTCTTTACATTGTATTGCTCATCCTTTTTCTAACCATTGTATTAATCACAACAATATCATCTCCTTAAGGAGTAGCAACAATTGAACCTTTCTAAAATTGGAGCACAACAATTATAGGGCAGAAATCTCCTTATTGGCCTGATTCTCTCATGCGAGAGTCTCTGATGTTTAGCCACTAGAGGAGCAAGTTGAGTCGGTCCCGCTGGTGGTATCCTCCTTCCTCGGGGTGGTGTGGGGGGTGGGCTGGGATGAGGGTAGGAGGGTGATTGAGAACCTCTGCATGTGTGTGTGTGTGTGTGTGTGTGTGTGTGTGTGTGTGTGTGTGTGTGTGTGTGTGTGCGCGCGTGTTTTCAAGATACAGAAGAGGAGAGCACTGCAGCAATCGGAGAAAGTAGGTCAGACAGCGACTAGTGAGAAAGATAGAAGAGGAGAAAAGAGGTAGGGAGAAGAGATGAAGAGGATGAAGAAGAGGAAAGAAAAAGCCAGAGAAAATAAAAAAGGAATTATAATAGCTAAAATGATGGAATTTAGAAAAATCCTATGAAAACTCCTAATTGTACTGATTGGCTTTAGCCACCATGCTCCTCTACTGCCTCTGAAGCTAAAAGGGAACTCACTTTGAGTTGCCAACGCACTCTCCTTGAACATAACAATCAAAAAGTAAAAACTGCACAGATCACGACTTTTCAGGATGAGTCTGGCCAAATGCTTTTCAGCTAATCTTCTCTACAAATACTGAAGCTTAGAATTTTAAATCTTCTTCTTAAACTGTTTGTATCGTGGATCCACTTGGAGAATATGCATAGGCTCTCATCCAATTTCCAAACCCCCCCAAAAAAGAAAAAAAAAAAATAGAAAAACAAACAAAAAGAGACCTTCATGGAAGAATGTGATAGCCTCCATTTGTCAGTTATAGAACCTCTTCTTGTAAGTACATTGCTCTTGATATTACATAAGTGCATAATGTCAAAAATACATAGGACACACAGAATGCACTCAGGCTTCTTATATGGGCTTTCTCTTCTGCTCCTCAGGCCAAGGCTGGTTTTTATTATTTATCTGATAAAGCAGAGAGTATACTGCCTTTCTAAATGCACTGCAGGGCTTGTAGGAATGGACAACATACAGGAAAAGGTTGTGCATCAGCCTCTAAAACACACGAGTGTAGTCGTTGCACTGTGATTGATTCACTTACAAACGGATGAGAGTCGATTGATGAGCCTGGTTTCATATTGAAAACTTGAGCCATCTTGATCAGAAACCAAGATAAATGTACAGCCATCCCTCTGAGTTACCTGAGATCTTTCCAGTTATCTTTCTTAGCTTCAAAGACAAAATTCTGGAAAAGAACATACAAAAATGAGATTTCTGCAGAAATTTTAGCATTTTCTGGAATATTGAATGGGTTATATCGATGCAGAAACACACTACAAATACACCTTTGTACTCAACTGGGTTTGACTCCAGGTCAGAAATTTTGGCCAGTTTGTATCCAACTGAAACAGCACTGGAGTGCACTGGAGTGTAGGAGTGCACTGGAGTGTATGGCAATACCAGACAAAAAAGACCATAAACTAGACCTTAAACTTTGACATAACTGATTTATGGATGTTCCGATCACATATTTTTGCTCCCAATCTGATTCTGAGACATGTCATTTTGAGTATCTGCCGACACCGAGTCCCCATCCAATACTTTTCAGAAAAGCATTAATATGAGAAGAAAAACAAAACAAAAAACAAAACACATCCAAGTTTCACTTTCACCAGTTTAGGAAGTGCATTGATTCAAAAAACGTGTTCATATTATGAACATATTTAAAAGTAGCAGCGTTGCTCATATTCCAAGTTGTTGAGCAATGCACGTTCCCGTGACAGGGCAGGCACGCAATCAGCTGACTTTTCCCTGCATAACACCTGTAGCTACTGCACAGCTCTGGCGCTACAGCAAACGTAAGAAAGCCAGACATTTTGTAGTTTGTTGTAATTTATTTTTGTTTATTAGCGTATCTTTCTCTGTCGCCAAAGGTGGAAGTTGCCTGTTTGAAAGCAGCGAATCATAGGGCTGTGTCTTTTCTGGCATGTTGAATAGCCAGTATGGACACATTACAACTGGCTGTAGCTCTGCCTTCTGCATTTGGTTTAAAATCCCACCATGCTGAAGACATTTTAGCTGTCCTGAGGAGACAAGTTAGCTCTGCGTTAGTCTGCTAGCTGACAGCAGCACCTTGGTGTCTGAATCCCTGCCTGTTGTAAATTGTGCAATGATACATTGTTTTTGTACAAGAAACAAATAATATTAATATAGAGGAAGTAGGGATGGACAATATATCAGCATCAAGGAATCAAGGAATCCACGGCTGATCTCCGTGAAAAATAAACATGATCTGCAAATTGTGATCAATGCTTTTCAGAGCTGACCACACCAGCTGTCTGTGTGCAACACGAGTCCCCCCTCCCCCGACCCAGATATAAACAAACACATCTGCCAAACGTTTACTCCATAATGTAAACTTTACCTCCTGCAGCGTAGAGAAAACTTGTTTAAATACGTCACACGGTGGATTTAATAGAAGCTTTAAATTACAAACTCTGGACGGTATGAGGTGAGTTTGTCTCACTGCAGAAATAAAAACACACACGGAGCGGCAGCAGTCAGACGCAGCCGCTCACCAACACTCGTGTGTGTGTGTGTGTGTAGGTGTGTGTGTGTGTGTGTGTGAGCGTCAGAAGGCTGAACAATAACCTGTAGAATAATTAAAGTCATCATGCTAGAGCAGCTTCTCTGTGGTGGACCACACCAGCTTCTGCCACAATAATAATAATAATAATAATAATAATAATAATAATAATAATAATAATAATAACAAATATACAATATAATAATAATAATAATAATAATAATAATAATAATAATAATAATAATAAATCACACACAAAGTTGTGAACATTTTAATTTCCTTTCTGAACTATTTCTGTTGAGAGTTTTAATGTTTAAAATCTGTTAGATTGTTACTGACAGCAACTACATTTAAGTTTCACTTTCTGTTCTGACTGAAGTTGCTGCAGCATGGAGGTGTAGTTCTCAGTCATCCTGGACATGATCATCCTGAGAGTTTTAGCTGAAAACAGCTGGACGTTTCTGGATATGTTAGAGACATTTCGCCTCTCATCCCAAAGGCTTCTTCCACACTTTGGTTGTGGTCAGAAACAAACACACTGGTTGTGCTGAAAGTCTTTTTCTCCAAAACATGTTTTTGTCTAAATGAAGGTGATGTTGTTGTTCATAGAATTACAATTCATCTTGAGGTTAAGATTATTTCATCAAGTAGGACCTGTGGTTAGCTGGCTCATGTAAAACGTGTCATGTCTTTAAAGAATCGGAATCGGGAATCGATAGGAACCGGAATCGAAACAAGGAATTGGAATCTGAATCGTTCAAAATCAAACAATGCCCAACCCTGGTGGTGTGTGTACATAATAACGTAAATTCAGCTTTAATAATTTTCATTTTATACAAAATTGCTGAAGCATTAATGTCAGTATATCGGTATCGGCAAATATCGGTTATCAGCCATAACAGTGGTATTGATATCGGATATCGGTATCGGCCCAAAAATTTCATATTGGTACATCACTGAAAGGAAGTTGTTTAAATTAAAACTAAGCCATTTGAAAATGTCTTTCTCAGGAGGAATTTAAAGGTCACGTCTGTTGTTTTATAAGGTTAAATCCAATTTTTTTCTCCAATCTTTTGAAAATCACATGATCGGCCCAATTTCCGATCATGACATCAGATCTGCGCATCCCTACGCTGAATGAATTAGATATTTTTAGAAATATTTATGTTCGCTTCATCTGATGAAAGTACAAATGTGTGTGGAACAATAAAAAAATGCAAATGTGTTTTTTGCAGGAACTTAATCTTTACCATATTTTTTCAGTTTTAGATGAAAAATTACAGCTGACTTTTTTTGATGTCGGGATAATTAGAGTCTAAACAAACAGGGATTTTGGCAGTTGGGTTACATTCAATTGTTGTGTTTCAAATTCTATAACTGTAAAAGGCCTTAAAACTCAAATGAGACAGTAGTTAGTTAATGAGTATCTTTTGGCCTACAGTGTTAGTTATAGTACTTATGACTCTATTGGCAACTCAGTCAGCCCGACTGGGAGCAGGTTTGTTTTGTTTCATTGCAGTTTTGAAAAAGAAGTATTCTTTTAACTGAATGAACTTGTGTATAAATTGTAAAATTACAGGTGTTGTAGTTTTTCTTTTTTCTTTTCACTTGTTTCAAAACTGACTTTTTCCTTCTCCTGTGTCTTTTTCTTCTATCTCTCCATCTTCTTTCTTATTCCCCTCCCACCTTCATCTCATTCAGTATGTGGCATTTATTTCCCTCTTCTTCATCCTCATCTCTATTTCTACTTTCTGTATGGAGACGCACGAGGCCTTCAACACCATCACAAACAGGACAGAGAACATCACGGTCGGCAATGGAACCCACGAGGAGATCGTGTTTGAGGTGGTGACTGACAGCTGGTTGACGTATGTGGAAGGCGTATGTGTCATTTGGTTCACCATTGAGGTCATGCTGCGAGTCACTTTCTGTCCAGACAAGTTGGAATTCTTCAAAAGTGCCCTCAACATCATCGATTTTGTTGCCATCCTGCCCTTCTATCTGGAGGTTGGCCTGAGTGGTCTGTCCTCCAAAGCTGCCAAGGATGTCCTGGGATTTCTCCGTGTTGTCCGATTTGTCCGTATCCTCCGAATCTTCAAGCTGACCCGTCATTTTGTGGGTCTCCGTGTCCTTGGTCACACCCTTCGAGCCAGCACCAATGAATTTCTCTTGCTCATCATCTTCTTGGCCCTTGGTGTCCTCATTTTTGCCACTATGATCTACTATGCTGAGAGAATTGGCGCTGACCCAAAGGACCCAACAGCAAGTGCCCATACCAACTTCAAGAACATCCCCATTGGATTTTGGTGGGCTGTGGTGACAATGACTACATTGGGTTATGGTGACATGTACCCAGAGACGTGGTCAGGGATGTTGGTGGGTGCGCTGTGTGCCTTGGCTGGTGTACTAACCATTGCTATGCCTGTACCTGTCATTGTCAACAACTTCGGCATGTACTACTCTCTGGCTATGGCCAAACAAAAGCTGCCCAAAAAGAAGAACAAACATATCCCTCGAGCACCACAGCCTGGGTCTCCCAACTACTGCAAGCCAGATGCTCTAGCTATGGCAACTGCATCACCACAAAGGATCTTGGGAAATGTCTTGGGAAATGTACTGGGGTCTGGAGGTATAGGGGGTGACTGTCCTCTCGCCCAAGAAGAAATTATAGAGATCAACAGAGGTAGGAGGTTTGGTTTTACTTGTTATTTTCTCAGTTTCAACAGAACATATTTTTTATTGGACGTGACTTTAGGGATCCTGTGTTCTGTGGAATTATGAGTCCCAAAATGTCAAGAGAGAGAGAGAAAACAGGAGTCATGTAAGGAAATGGTTGTTTCTGGCACCACCCTGGAGAAATTACTGACCCATCAGAACTCTTGTGTAATTTATGATCAACTAGCAGATCCACATTTGCCTTAAGGCATCCATCTGTCAGAGAAGAACAAACACTATGGTAGGAAAACGAACTCAATTATCTATTAAAACAGCTTAATGGATCTTGTTTTTGGCTGACTTCACAGATTTGTTCTCTGCCATTGACAGTAAAACTGCTACAGTAATGCACCTTTAAAGCATTACATAAATGACTTAGTCATGAACGGGTCTGAACATATTGGTTTATATAGTGTTTTCCCTGCATCTTGTCTGGTTTTTTTTAGCTCTTTTTGCAAGTTAATGTTTGGTCGGTGGATTGTGATTTTTACATAGGAAATTCAATTTTAAAAATGTTCCCATTATCAAACACCACTAAAACCAAAAGACAGTTTATGAAACACATTTGATCATAATGCTTTATTGTATATTTGTGGGACTAATACACATTAATCACACCTTTGCGTCTGGTGGTCGTCTGACTGAGTGTACAAATGATCAAGACAAATAGATCAATGCGTGCATTTCCTCCTTTTATAGCTGTTTCCTTAGAAAGCATTTATTTTAACACCAAGTCACAAAAACAGTAATACTAGGCTTCAGAGTACAGCAGAAAAACTAACTGAAATTTGTTCAATGTAATTTTAAGAGACAGAGGATAAAAATGATCAAAAGTTTAAATTTACATTGAATTATGATGGTGTGAACTTTGACCTGTCACCACCATGTCTGTTTTCGTTATTTCTGCAGTTATAAAAGGAAGCTGCACAAACAGAATGGCACATGACATTCACTTTACCCATCCTAAATATCAAATGGTACCACAGAGTTCTGGTCATGCAATGTTTTGGTGATTCTTCAGAACCTTGCACCCATCTACCTCCTTATCTCTTAACTTGGAGTTGTGTGCACTGAGCCCTGTTTTTCTTCCAATGGTTATACCATCATCATCATCAGCAGCAGCAATTTAATTCATTTCACTTATATACCACCAATTCACAACACAAGTCATCTGAAGGCACTTTACGAAGTAAAACGTTAAAGAAAGTAAAATGTTAAGGGTAGAGGAGGGTAGTTTTTCAGTGATTGGTAGTAGTGTGCCAGCCGATGACCCCCTTCATGAAGGTATCACAGCCAAACCAAACACCAGACCTGGTATAGCTTTTCTGGAAAGAAAAACACTGAGAAAACATAAAGTTGAAAACTAATTTGAAAGTATGCCAGAACAGTCGTGTCCCCGTCTATCTCTGAGGAACTCTAGACCTATCTCTTCTGAGAGCATCTCATTTCCTACTTCCCTTCTCCTACTGCACTCTACTTGTGTCACCTCTGCCAGAGCCTGACCAGAGTTCTTCCCTCTAAGCAGTTAAATGTTAGCCTTGATAGGAACTGCATTGCTATCATATTTAAGTCACATTGTACAAAATCATCTGTCAAAATTAAATCATACATTGACCACAAGTGGAGTTGTACAAACACATCTATTTGTCTTGAGCAAACAGATCCAGTTTGTCCAGGTTTTGCTGACACCCTCTATTCTCTGTGTGATTTCACCTTTCCATCGCCTCGTTTAGATTCCAAACACAACGGTGACGCAGCCTCGGCCTTGAACCGTCACCTTATCGTGGTGGAGGAGTTTGAGTGCCCTAATAATCCTAGGAGCTATGTTGTCTGGGGCACTTTGTGCGCCTGGTAGGGTCTCCCATGACAAATTGGTCTTAGGTGAAGGGTGAGACAAAGAACGGTTCACAGGATCTTTCATGGAGGTATAGTCAAAGAGTCGGAGTACCCGGCCCGGAGGGTTACCGGGGTCCCACCCTGGAGCCAGGCCTGGGGTTGGGGCCCGTGGGCGAGCGCCTGGTGGCTGGGCTTTCGCCCATGGGGCCCGGCCGGGCCCAGCCTGAACCGGATACATGGGCTCATCCAACTGTGGACACACCACCCGCAGGAGGAACATGAAAGGTCCGGTGCAGTGTGGATCGGGTGGCAGACAAAGGCGGGAGCCTTGGCGGTCTGATCCCCGGACAAGAAAACTGGTTTTTGGGACATGGAATGTCACCTCGCTGGTGGGGAAGGAGCAGGAGCTTGTGGCAGAGGTTGAGCGGTACCGGCTAGATATAGTCGGACTCACCTTGACGCATAGCATTGGCTCTGGAACCCAAGTCCTTGAGAGGGGTTGGACACGCTCCTTTGCTGGAGTTGCTCCGGGTGAGAGGCAGAGGGCTGGGGTTGGCTTTTTGTTAGCCCCAAGACTTTGCCTGTGTGTTGGGGTTTACCCCGGGGGACAAGAGGGTAGCTTCCCTGCGCCTTCGGGTTGGGGAACTGGTCCTGACTGTTGTTTGTGCTTATGGGCCAAATATCAGCTCAGAGTACCCACCCTTTTTGGAGTCCCTGGGACGAGTGCTAGATAGTTCTCCATCGGGGAGTCCATTGTCCTGCTGGGGGACTTCAATGCTCACGTGGGCAATGACAGCTTGACCTGGAGGGGTGTGATTGGGAGGAACGGCCCGCCTGATCTGAACTCGAGTGGTGTTTCGTTATTGGACTTCTGTTTAAGCCGCAGTTTGGCCATAACAAACACCATGTTCGAACATAAGGATGCCCATCGGTACACTTGGTACCAGGGCAGCCTAGGTTGCAGGTCAATGATAGACTTTGTAGTCGTATCATCTGACCTGCGGCCATATATTTTGGACACCCGAGTGAAGAGAGGAGCGGCGCTGTCAACTGATCACCACCTGGTGGTGAGTTGGATCAGATGGCAGGGGAAGATGCCGCGTAGACCTGGCAGACCCAAACACATAGTGAGGGTCTGCTGGGAATGCCTGGCAGGAGAACCTGTTAAGACGTACTTCAACTCCCGCCTCCGGCAGAGCTTTGACCGCGTCCCGAGAGCAGTGGGGGACATTGACTCCGAGTGGGCCTTGTTCCACTCTGCGATTGTTGAGGCGGCTGTTGCTAGCTGTGGTCGCAAGGTGGCCGGTGCCAATCATGGTGGCAACCCCCGTACCCGCTGGTGGACACCAGAGGTTCGGGGAGCCATCATGCTGAAGAAGGAGGCCTACAGGGCGTGGCTGGTCTGTGGGTCTCCGGAGGCAGCAGACAGGTACCGGATAGCCTAGCGGGGTGCAGCAGTGGCAGTTGTCGAGGCAAAATCTCGGGCGTGGGAGGAGTTTGGTGAGGCCGTAGAGAAAGGCTATCGATCGGCTCCAAAGAGGTTCTAGCAAACTGTCCGGCACCTCAGGAGAGGAAGGCAGCAACTCGCTCACACTGTTTACAGTGGGGATGGGGAGCTGCTAACGTCAACTGGGGCTATAGTCGGACGGTGGAAGGAATATTTTGAGGAGTTCCTCAATCCCACCTATGCGCATTCCGAGGAGGAACCAGAGCCGGGAGACCTGGGGATGGACTGTCCAATCTCGGGGGCAGAAGTTGCTGAGGTAGTCAAACAACTACACAGCGGCGGAGCCCCGAGGGCGGATGACGTTCGTCCTGGGTATCTCAAGGCTATGGATGTTGTAGGGCTGTCATGGTTGACACGTCTCTGCAAAATTGCGTGGTCATCGGGGCAGTTCCTGTGGAGTGGCAGACCGGGGTGGTGGTCCCCATCTTTAAGAAGGGTGACCTGAGGGTGTGTTCCAACTATAGGGGGATCACACTCCTCAGCTTCCCTGGAAAGGTCTACTCCAAGGTACTGGAGAGGAGGGTCCGATCGATAGTTGAATCTCAGATTGAGGAGGAGCAATGTGGTTTTCGTCCTGGCCATGGAACAGTGGACCAGCTCTATACCCTTGCAAGGGTGGTGGAGGGGGCATGGGAGATTGCCCAACCAATCCACATGTGTTTTGTGGATTTGGAGAAGGCTTATGACTGTGTCCCCAGGGGCACCCTGTGGGGGACGCTCCAGGAGTATGGGGTGGGTGGCTTTCTGTTAAGGGCCATTCAGTCCCTTTACCAGAGGAGCGTGAGTTTGGTCTGCATAGCCGGTAGTAAGTCGGACCTGTTCCCGGTGAGGGTTGGACTCCGCCAGGGCTGCCCTTTGTCACCGGTTCTGTTCATTACCTTTATGGACAGAATTTCTAGGCGCAGCCGTGGTGTGGAGTGTGTCGAGTTTGGTGGCAGGAGAATCTCGTCTCTGCTTTTTGCGGATGATGTGGTCCTCCTAGCTTCATCCAGCTCTGACCTTCAGCTCTTGCTGGGTAGGTTCGCGGCCGAGTGTGAAGCGGCTGGGATGAGGATCAGCACCTCCAAATCTGAGACCATGGTTCTCGACCGGAAAAGGATGTCTTGCCAACTCCGGGTTGGGGGAGCGGTCCTACCTCAAGTGGAGGAGTTTTAGTATCTCGGGGCCTTGTTCACGAGTGAGGGTAGGAGGGATGGGGGGATCGAAAGGTGGATTGGTTCAGCATCTGCAGTGATACGGACGCTGAGCCGATCTGTCGTGGAGACGAGGGAGCTGAGCCAGAAAGCCAGGCTCTCGATTTACCGGTCGATCTACCTCCCAATCCTCACCTATGTTCATGAGCTTTGGGTAATGACTGAAAGAATGAGATCGCAGATACAAGCGGCCAAAATGAGTTTCCTCCGTAGGGTGGCCGAGCTGCGCTGTAGAGATAGGGTGAGGAGCTTGGACATTCGGGAGGGACTCGGAGTAGAACCGCTGCTCCTCCAGATTGAAAGGAGCCAGTTGAGGTGGTTTGGGCATCTGGTCAGGATGCCTCCTGGACGCCTCCCCGGGGACGTGTTTCGGGCATCTCCTGCCGGCAGGAGGCCCCCGGGTCGACCCATGACACGTTGGAGAGGTTACATCTCCAATCTGGTCCGGGAACGCCTTGGGGTCCTGCCGGAGGAGCTGGTGGAGAAGGCCGGGGAGAGGACGGTCTGGAGCTCCCTAGTTGGGATGCTGCCCCCGCGACCCGGACCCAGATAAGCGGAGGAAGACGACGACGAGGAACTGCATTGTTATCATATTTGTCACTTTGTACAAACTCATCTGTCAAAATTAAAGCATACATTGACCACAAGTGGAGTTGTACAAACACATCTATTTGTCTTGAGCAAACAGATCCAGTTTGTCCAGGTTTTGCTGACACCCTTTATCCTCTGTGTGATTTCACCTTCCCATCGCCTTGTTTAGATTCCAAACAGAACGGTGACGCAGCCTCGGCTGCCTTGGCCAATGAGGACTGTCCCACCATCGACCAGGTGCTAAGCCCAGACGAGAGGAGCCCCATTGGGCGAGGCCCTACTCGGGAACGCTACCAGCAGGATCGAGCCTGCTTCCTACTCAACACCAGGGAATTCCGTGCCACAGATGGAAATGTGCGGAAAGGTACGTTTCACAGTGGGAGATGGATATGTGAAATGCACATCTTATGTAAACACATTCACTCATCAAGATGCCAGGCACAGCGTGTCCAGTGTGCAGCCCATACAAACACTTCTACATGACTGTGTGTTTAGGATCAGATTCAGGAGAGTTTCACATAAAACCGTTTGGAAGACTCAGGAATAGAAGGAACAAGAACTGGAACACACACACACACACATATATCTCTTATGCTCTTCTCTTTGTTTCCGTCTTTTTTATCGTCTGTTTCCATCACTGCTTGGTATTTCGTTAATTCAGTCATGTAAATTTTTCTGTACTTTCAATTTTTTCATTCTTAGTTTTGTCTTCACACACCTTTGATCGTGTCTTCCACCTTTTTCTGGTGTCTGTGAATTTTGTCCCATAGTGTCACATTCATTCATGCTCAGAAATGACCTGTCTTTCTCTGTCTTCTGGACTCAGACAGTTGACCATGCATTAATTTTCTTCTCGTCACTTCTGTTTCCCCCTCTCTCTCTCTCCCTCTTGGCCTTGCATCATCCTCTTTCCGTTCTTTTTTTCCCCTCTCTAACTTCACCAAACACCCATCAAACTTTTCCTACCTGGTGACCCTCCCCACCCCACCTCCTCATACTCATTCCCCCCTCCTCATTCTTACTTTGACACTGCACCATTTCTCCTACTGTTTTTTTATGTTCTGGCCCCATGTGCATTATCCTCATCAAAATCTGATACCAAAAATAATTTACTGTTGCAATCTGACCCCCACCACTGCCACCAACCTGCACCCAAAACACTCCCCCACACTCCCTCCAAACTTCCAACACCCCCCTGTCGACAACAAACTACTTTAGAGGCAGCAGCGCTGGCACCCAGCCCAGACTCCCCTCTGACTGAGGATTGGTATAAGATGGAGGGGTCTCTGTTACAGCAGGACCTCAATGCTAACTCCACCTCCTCCTGGATCAAACCCTAGCCCAGAGGTAACAAAAATCACAGTGTAGTCAGTCTTTGCCTGAAACATCCACAACTTTTGATTTAACTTTTTTGCAAATTCTGTTGCAACTCTTTAGCAAGCCCCCACCACATTTTAAACAGAGGCAGCTGCACACACCCTTAAATCACAGATACAGGATTACTTTCACAGTGTCTAAATGTTTGACAGAGGAGCCTTATCTGTGTCTGAAGGTGTACTACGATCATTTGAGCTAAGGTTGGGTTGTTTCTACATTTTTTATATTAATTATGGGGGATATCATTTCAATTTTGGGTCAATAAAACCTAACCTCAGCCCAATATCCTGTTTTTAAATAAAGAAAAAACGTCTTTATTTTCATCTGTGAGGTCAATAAAAATGTACAAGGTGTAATAAACCTGAAAGGAAAGGGGGATTGTTCTGTTTGTGCATATTTGGGACCTGCCTACAGTCATGGCGTGTTTGATTATTCCAGCAGCTCAAGTGGGAATAATCCAGTCTGTTGTGTCCTGTTGTAACTAATTGAAGGTAAAAGTGAAAAGAAATGAGCAGGAAACAGCGGGTCTTGTTGTTGTCTGACGTGCCTCTGTGTTGTTGTTGTCTCTCTCTTCAGGTTGTGTCATATCACGCGTGTGTATGTGGGCTTTTTCATTCTTACACATGTATACACTGTGTCTGTCCTCTCAATGCCGTCTGAGTGTTGTGTTTGTGTTGTCGTATGTAGCTTTACTTTTGGTTTTCCCTCTCTACTGTGTTCAGTTCATGTTATTCCCTATCCCCACAAACCTGCACCTTGGAAAACAAGAGCGCACGCACACACACACACATACACACACACACACACACACACACACACACACACACACACACACACACACACACACACACACACACACACACACACACACACACACATACACACATACACACCAAACAGAATTTATGTTTATGTTTAATTTTAGTACAACATATTTAAAGGGACATTTGAGTCATTTGAAGCATTTTTTGGTGGGTAATCTTCCGGAACAGCCTCAGTTCAAAGAAACTGAGTATATGTCTTACAGGACAGCTAGGGATGAAAAGGGTTCACTACGAAAGTAAAATTCATTCACCAGTAAAACTGTATTTAGTGACAGAGCAACTGAAATCTGCAGTACGAAATTCCCAACAGAGCTAGGCAGGAGATGAGAGCTCTGGAGGTGTTCAAGTAGCTTTCCGGAGTATTTCTAATATCTGATGGCACCATCTTGTGGCTGACAAGCATATTGCACAAATAGTTTCTCCTTCTATTTTTTTAAGATAGCGACTTCGCGTCTCTTGTATATAAATGTGCTTCTGTAGCCGACAAACACGTTTTACAATTAATATTCTCATGTTATGTTGTGTTCTCATAAATTTATATTTTAGAGACTTACTTGTGCGTGAAAAGTTCATCAACTCCGCGTCAGCCGAGGTATTCCTTAAATTTGAGGCATTTAAGTGGAAGTCTAACACTATTGGTTAGTTCTGGTCGGCGCTCAGTTTCGTAGTTCATGGAGCTCTACGGGGCTGGGGGCGTGCTTAGCAATAAAAAAAAGATGTATTCATGTGTTTTTCTCACATTTATCACAGATTCCTTGCAGGGCTCTTGAGCCTGATTTATACTTCTTCGTGAGCTCTGCAATGGAAAGACGCACATGGAGTGTCTGAAAGGTTTTCACATTCGAACTTCTGTTCAAGCAGCGAAGTGTTGCAAAGCAATTCCTCACCAGGACAACAGGGGGCGTAGCGCTGTTCTGGTATCCTGCCATCATAACACTCGTGTATCCGGTCTCTGATAGTGTATTTACTGATGTGTTTATATATTTCAGAGACTTTATAACACGGCCAAATTCGTCCTTCCTTGTCCTCCACCTCTTCATGCGATCGCCACCTCTAAACCCACATTTCCCGTCGTTTCTGTCCACGTTTGCTCGTATTTTTTACTCCCTCACTCACGGGTGAATAAATGTTAATGTTTTTGGACTTCTTCCGCAATGCGTTCTTCAATCTGTTCTGGGTCTGCCGCAAAATATCTGTTTAGTTTTTAACGTAGCTACAGATGTGCTGTACTGGATGTACAGGAAGTGGCGTCCTGACCAATCACAAGCTTGCGGTCTCTGTCACTTTTGACGGATGTTTAAAATTTTGGGCATGTCTCCGTCACCCTCTGTGAGTCTGTCGGGGAGCCCTGTGGTGTCTCCGCACCGACGCAGACGGATAAATCAGGCTTTAGCGGGCACACACGTGACAGAACTGCTAAAATACAAGGAAATTGCCTCTAACAAGTCAGATTTTTATATTTATTACTCTCACATTGTCAATTAAACCAAATCATGACATCATTTCCTAAAAAAACCTTCACAGTAAGAGGCCTGTGCAGCTTATTCCTACTAACACAGCCAAGCTGAACACCTTTCTTGTTACTTTCACCACAGATTATATAAGGTTGTTTTATAAAACTGTCAGTGTTACATTACATTGTTCCTTTCATAAAAGTCTAAGGTTATTCATAAAACCAGTAGCACTTCCAGTTCAAGCTCACGTTAACAGTAGCTCGTCCTTCAGATAGGATGTAAAAGTTAATTTTGACAAACTGAGGCTGTTCTGGAAAATGTCCACACACACTTTAATTGTCTTAAATCTCCCTTTAGTCCCACACATGCATCCACATTTATTTGACTGAAATAATTTGGCTGATTGTTTCACAAGCGTTTGATGAATGATAAAGATATCTCCCTAAGGTTTAAGGTTACTGGGGTTAGTGGACTCATTTGTGTCTAGGGATACTATTTTTGGAGCCATGACACGCTGAGAACAAACAAGTATTTTGCATTTTTGTGCAGACTTTTACAGCAAACTTATAAATCTGTTCAAATATTGTAGAGCTGATGTATAAAATGTCCTCTGAGCGTGTGACAGATCTGAAACACTATCCCTGGACCACACAACTGTGATTTCAGTCCCTAGTGTAGTCCAAAGCTCTGGATATTTGACATATTTGTCCTCCAGAGTGCAGAAAGATTCATTAAAGCTGCACTTGGTGACTGAATCATCCTAACACACTTACTGACCAGACAGACAAACACTATGACAGGTTTGACTAAAAAGGGGCTTCATGCAGTCGAAGGTAAGCAAGCCTTGAGCTAATCCGAGCTTTTCACCCAAAGGTCGCCAACATTGCTACAGTTTTACATGTGCAAACTGCAATTTAAGTGACGCAAAAAATCCCCCTTTAAAGCAAATCAGGAGTGCATTGAGGAAAATAATCCCTGGGGTAATTAAGGTGCCACTTAAGGCAAGTTAAAGGCAAATGGTACATGCTAATTAGCACCTTTAGTTTGGGGACCTTTAATGGCCTTTGTTTCTTTTAAACGCTTGAAACTTGAGCACTGCAGGAAGCGATTGTGTTTGCTGCTCACGGTAAACACTGGAGACATTTGATCTGATTCTCTTTTGATCTGAAATCTGATTCTATAGGTTTTGATGATAAGGTTGTTTGTGTGCAAACCTTTGACAGAAAGGGAATCTGTTAAAGATGTAAAATAATGAGCAATGGCCACATGTGCAGTACTGTGCAGAAGTTTTAACCCCCTCCCTCACCACATGTCTTTGTACTCATGGGAGCTCACTTGGCTGCAGCTGCTGACCAAACAGCAACAGATCATCAGTATAACCACACTAGGTACCCATGATGCTTTTGCAGAATGTTTCACATAGGGTCAGATCACGTGAGCAATATAATGAATTCACAAACAAGTTACAACCCTGATGCATTGTTTGTTTTTAGTTAAATTGACCACAAGTGGAGTTGTTGCAGCTTAGTCTCAGTTTGTTTTAATTTAGTCTGGTTTATTTTATTTTTGGTGGCCAGTGCCTATGGTCTCAACCTTTCTTGCACTTTCTGATGTGAAGAAACAAAACGATAACGCGCTCCAGACACTCATGGCTGACCATGACTATTCTGCAAACATGCTCAAAATTCCTGAGAAACAAAGCCAGACTTGCAACTTGTGAAGTGATCGAGAACCTTTGTGAATGTTTTGAGACACTTTTGAACCTCCCTCGCAAATGCTGTTTGCAATTTGTTCCCAACAGCTACAGCCAAGCAAGTGAGACGTTATTTCACTAATTATGTTTTTAAGTGATGTTGATCAAGACTTTTCAGTCTTTTTGTCCAACTCTTGTATATTGTGCACTTTGTGCCTAAAGAGATCACCAGAAAAGTATTAGAAAATCATGTGTTTAAGAAATAATAAAACATTTTCTGCAACAGAGCCTGAGAGATGCAACAGCTGACCACTGACTGTATATCCAGTTTTCAGGGGAACTATGCAGTTTTGGCTTGCTTTTAGCACCCCCTAGTGTCCATTATTTAGATCTGAAAGCAAAACCTGTGAGAAGTGGTGTCTACAGGAGTGATTCATCAGTAAATTAAACAAATCAGCTGTGTTCATGATCTAAAACCAGCACGACACATGCTAGAACCAGACTGCAGTGCCAGGTATGCCAAGTCCCTACAGCCCGGACCAGCAACTCTGAAGTTTCAGGTGGAATATTCTAGCCACGGGGGGGTGATAGGAGCTGGGTGGTCTTTCATTAACCCTGTAAAGGATAATTTTAGCACATACTGGCTCAAGAAAATTATTTAGAAATATGAAAATGTTGCAAGGTATCCCTTTAAGATGAACTGGAAATCATCTTGTTTGTGCTAAAATACCATTTTATTAGCCTAACTGTGTTATTGCTTTGATTTTAATAGGTTTAACTAAAGGAATAAGAACACTTTGTGACAGAATGTTGGTAACAAAATGTTTGAACAACCAATTAAAATCTGTCATTTAGAAATCTGCCTGTTAACTGTTGACACAACACTGGTTCCTCTCATACATTTACATATGTTTTATTCTTGCATGACTGATAGATTCAGAGCTTTAAGTGGGGTGGTACCATGCATCACTTAAAAACTTTACCTCTCAGTATGCCAGGACTTTTTTCTAGCATGACTGCCAATAGCTTAGTTGGCCATTTATCACTTCAAATCCAAGAAATTAATGAATAATATTAATCCCACCCCTGTGATGGACTGGCTCTCTGTCCAAGGTGTACCCCGCCTGATTGCCCATTGACCACTGGAGATAGGCACCAGTCCCCCTGCGACCCTACGTGGACAAAGCGGGTTCAGACAATGAATGGATGGATTAATCCCACCCCAGTTGATGCTGGTCTTTAAGCACTTGACTAAAAATGCAGCTGAAGTGCTACAGGAACTTTTGAGAGCCCTCCCAAAAGCCTCTTTGGAAGTATAAGTATAAAGAATGAGGGACGACTCAAGACTTTTGCACAGTATTGTAGAAAATGTGGCAATTCAAACATTTAAATTTAATAGCTGATGTAAATCTAAAGCTGATAAAACAAGTCTTTCCTGTTGTCTTTAAAGGGGGATTCTCGTCCTAAAATCATAAGTGTGCTTTATTTGTGGCTTTCATTTCCTGTGATTAGATGTCTTTGCCCAGTTATTTTCTCAGCTTCTTTGTGTCTTTTTTTATTAATACTGTAATTATTATAAGTGTCCATTTGACCTCTTGTGCACTCAGCGCTACATGCATGGCTCAT